CTCTCTCTCTCTCTCTCTTTCTCTCTACCCCTTCTCCTCGCAATTTTCTATTCCATCCTTCATTACCGAATCACGTGTCTGGAACTTCCGCTGTGGAAAAAGAACGGAAAAACGAACGTTCTCCCTGTCGCGCCGCCGACGAAACTCCGCGATCCGCGTGCTCCGCAGTGGACCTTTTTTCACGGGATCGAGAAAACGGAACGAAAAACGAGGCGAAAAGCGGGACGAAGAACGAGAAGAAACGCGTTTGATTAAGAGGACAAAAAGTTTGCTCGTTTATCTCGCGGTACATCGTACCCCCGAGGCGGCTTCGACCGACTCCGTGGAGCCAAGTCGGATTCTCGGTGAAAGGAGAGAGAAACTGTACGAATCGTGGTGGGGAGAAGGATAACGTTGGCTATATCTCGGCGGGTGCGGCTGCTACATAGAGCACCGTAATTTTAAGGTCGGCGCGCTTCGTGGTCGATTACCGATCCCACTGCAGCCGTTGTACCGATCACCACCGTCGCGATCAATCGGATCGAACACGTCTTCTGAATCGCACGGCGAGTCGATTACCACCATTCGCCGCCGTCGTCGCTGCGCTCTACTGACCAGTTAGTCCTTCCGCGTTCGTCGTTATCGCAAGAAATCGGGTCGGAAGCCGGAATCGAGTCGCAACGAACGGAGTAGTAGCGAGGAAAGCGGTCGAAGACCTTGCCCCGTCGCTTTAGTCGTTGGACTAGAAGACCGCGCGTTCCATCTCTTTTTCGCGCGAAAACGTCAAAGAGAACGAGTTTAACGCCACGAGATGCGGCAAGCTAACGGGACCCATTATATACTCGCAACCTCGAGTTTTTCGAATCCGAACGGTCGAGGATCCATCCGTGCGATGAAGCAAGAAATTTCGAACGTGTTCACGACGTTGTCCGTGTCGACGCGAGCGTAGGAGAAGGGGGCAAATATATTTCGATGCGTGGAACGCGAGGTAGAGTTGCGAAGAGAGGCGAATGTTCTCGTAACGTTCTCGTACCACGATTCTGTTGGTAGCTCGCGTTTCGCGTTGCGCGTTACAGGTTACGCGTGGTATCGCCGCAAGAGTTCAGCGGACCAGGCACGCTCTACCGGATCCGAGGCACGCTGTTTACGCTCGCGTTGAAACAGGAAATGCAAGCTTCGTCCGTTACTTCCTCGCCCCTCGGCCTCTTACTCACCTGTCGATTCTAACCGTTTCCGTCCACCACGAAATGCCCGGCATTTCTCCACTTCTATCGGTAACCTTTCTTTTCCACGCAACGAAAGAACGCGAGAGAGAGAGACGAAAAGGGGACCTTCTATCTACGCGGAACACGAAGAAATCGCATTGCGTGAAACAAAAACGAACGATTTCGATTTACCTGTAACCTCAAATCCGGAAGGATCAGCATGGTTCTGAATTTCTCGATACTATGGGAAATAGTCGAATATTTGCTAAAACGTTACTCTTCTTATCGTATCGATATATCTCTCGTTCTTCGAGTGCGGATGTTCACGATGTTTCTTGCTCTTTTTTATCCTCCGAGTAAACAGACTATTCACTATTCGATACTAACGAGTAAAAAATCTTCGAACGCGTTTCAATCGAGTTTATTTGCGAAGAACTATTCAAAATGATCGACCTCTCTCGATCGCGCACACATCGAACAACGATAAATTCACGTCTTTCGGTTCCATAGCCGGTGACGAAGTAGAAACACGGTGGTAAATCGAGAGCAAACGCGTATCGGTCGTGTCGCTTCACATTCCACTCGCGTATACAAGTACGATCGTAACGTCGAACATTTTCGAGGTTTATTTAACCGGACGAAACGTTACAAAGGTAGAGAAGACGCGTTCGATGTTTCCGCGATGCGTTTCTTTTCTATGGGAAAGCGGAATTCCCAGGGCCGACGAACGGTGTTACGCTCGCGAGAGGGAGGGAGAATGAAACGAACTAGAGAGAGAGAGAGAGAGAGAGAGAGAGAGAGAGAGAGAGAGAGAGAGAGAGAGAGAGAGAGAGAGAGAGAGAGCGAGAGAGAGAGAAAGAGAGAGAGATATAGGGACAGGTGGGGATATAGAGAGCTAAGAACAGGAGAGAAGAAAAGATCGGTCGAGAAGATTTACGAATCACCGTTGACTCGCATCGATCGAAGCGCACGGGATAACGCGCGCAACACAACCAACCAATTTCTCACCTTCCGCGGTCTATTCCAGTTGACGACCGATCGGGCCCCTTTTCGCGTTCGGGAAATTTCGCTTCTAATCGTCGCGATTCGCCCGACTTCGCTCTCTTTCGGCAACTGTCGGTCTCTTCCGTTTTCTAGTACCTCGCCCCACCACGCATACCTCGGAGAACAATTCGCGCGCCAACTTTATTTCGTTCGTGCCATTCGTTTGATTTATAAATTCCGACTTCGTTGTCGAGCACGCGAATTTCACCGACTTTTTTTCATAAATTTCCGCATCATAATCGTTCGATCGTCGTTACTTGGCGAAATTTTTTCCCTCCCTATCTCATAGTCCGGTGATCTTTTACGATAATCGACACGCTGGTATGGGTAGAACGCGTGTAAAGTACGTTTGTTATACGAACGTTCGTCGAAATAACAGTATTGAAATCGTAGCCGCCTATTCGTAATTACGTAATCTATTTCGCGATGCTCTATCGATTTCCATGTTTCAAATTCGCGTAACGTATCAAAGAACTGCGAGTTTCTCTTCTAGGCATTCTGGAAGTAGTCCTGGAAGTAACGAGTTACGTATAATTTGCTCGAACACGTATGTCTGCAGTTTCTCGCGTTTCGAACAACGAAGTAACGAACGTATCGATCGTTCGTTTCGTTCCGATAAAATTACCGATGAAAGTTTCATCCGGAAATTCGAGAGATTTCTTTTCGATCGTATTTTTTCCAGGACGCTCGGTACGACTCCTATTCTGGATCAATATTCTATAGCGTATAAACGGAGAAAGTCGATATTCTATATGCCACGTTTCACTTTCCGGATTATCTATCGTGCAACGATGATCGTTGGTGCTTTTTCCAGAGATGTTTCTAAATTTCACGCGATTAAGTTAAGTATCATAGTTTGTTGTTCGACTGTAACATATTCCGAACCTACATTGCTGCGTGAGCGCACGCGTGCGTACCTGTATGGTGTGTGTATGTCGTGTGAAACGTCCGCACGCCATATGTGTCGGATCGCTTTACGAGACGCAACATGTATGCATCAACGTTCAACCGATGGCAGAAAGATGGCGTGCGATCAATTAAGAAATTATACGAGCGCGTTTCGATACATCAACGAACGTGTCAAATGTGCGACACGATGATAACGTGCACGCGAAAAATTGAAATATCTGTTAGGGTACGGTAATCCGCTAGTCCCTGGCACCATGGAAATTAATCGAATCGTACGATACGTATGGATACACGCTTTTCTTTTTCATTTTCCACCAAACTATCGTTACCTCGAGAAAAAGAAAAAAAGAAAATGGAAAAGCGCAGTGAATAGAAGATCGATCGCGTGTCCAACGTAGTGTTGTAGAGAAAAAATGTACACGAATTTGCGTTCGATCGTCACGAGATCCGTCTCGGTTCGATTCACGCGAACAAAACAATAACACATATGCAACGTATCAGTTACTAAGGACGTGAAAAGAAAAGTGCGTTTAAAAGGGTTTGGCGTGCGATACTCACCCTAACGAAACGTGGCTTATGGATATCGTCTTCGACGATATCTCCTGACACGATGGGTATGTTCATTGTATCTTCTTTGCATTCTATCGAGCGCGTAACACGTTTTATCTTCGAAAATACGAGAGTACGCTTTAACCGATCGACGATTCGAAATCGAATCGCGATGTGGTCCACGATATCGACGTATATGCCCGTATCCTTTGGTCAACGTATTTGTAGATGCGGGGTATCTACGAACGAACGATCAGCACACTATGGCAATCGCAGAGAGATATGGTAGGATCG